CCACAGCCAGCTGGGCATAGCTCAGTCCTCTAATATGCATTCTATATCTCCAAGAAAAAAGGATATGCAGTGCTTCCCATACATATATGATCATGGAGTCATTTTCTTGATGAGCATATAGCATGTCTGAGGAACACACTTTGGGAAATGCTCATCCACGTCATATTACCATGTTTTCGGGTTGCCTTGTGTTGACTTTTGTATTGGATGCTCCTAGGATTCTAGTCCATGACAAAGTCCAGTAAGGAAAGCTTTGTCACTTTTTCCAAGGAGTAATAGGATGGAAAAAGACCCAAAAGCTATTCTCTCAAGGAGAACAGATCTGATTCAAATTCAGAAGCTCTGATTCATCCTAATTGTTGTATTTCTGAGGGCAGACGACATTTGCCATGACCTCTAACCGGATCCCTTTCCCCATCCTAAAGTACATCCTGCTATGTAAAATGAGGTCGTAATAAACTTGGAAAGTGGTAACACTGTGGTTTTAGACAACTGACGTAAGTTTTACGGAAGCATTTTTTGCAACCCACTTTGACGGCAAGGGTGAATGCTGCACATGTAAACTGCACATGGAGATGGGGATCTGGTGTCAGCTACAAGTTCATGTTAAGATCTGAGTCTGCCCCGTGGAAACAGAACTCTAATTATATGCGTTAAGGGGCTATAGCTGGAAAGCTCACAGCTGCTCTGGAGCAGCAGCAGGGCCACAGGGGCACGGCTCCCTGGCCAGGCCCTGCCAGAACTGAATGTCCAGATGAATTCTTTCTTTATTCAAGCCTAGACTACATTTCATTGTAGAGTTTTGGTAATTGAATAAATTCTAATAAACTGTCTTCTCTGGTGTAGATGTAGAAGAAGGCTTTTCATATTTTATAATGTTCTTATGTTTTCATATTCTGAAAGCAATAAATGGTAAGTGTGGGTAAACACACAAAAGCATGCAAATAGAATAAAAGTCATCCCTAATGCCACTAATTAGAAATAATTGCTATTGATATTTTGGTTTATCTATTTAAATGTTTTCTTTCTTTTCGAGGTGGTACATACTTATTTGGCAGGATGCTTTGAGAATATTTCTGAACTCTTTGTGGCCCTAATGCTGTAGGATAGAATTTATTTTGGGGGCAACTCGCTCTTCCCAGAAGAGCTACAAAGGTGAGCCTGTCCAGCCATAGAAATGCAAGTGCAGCAAGAGTGTTTTCATACCATAGCCCTGAGTATTGGTGAAATAATTCTGCTACTACAACTTGTACTACATTACTACTAACACATGGTGATCCCAATGCTAATAGAACTGCTATTTTCTCTATGCTAGAATATCTCTATTTTAAATGCATTATCCTAGTTAATACTTACAATAACATGATGTTACATTCTATTATTATCCTCACGATGCAAAGAGAAGATAAACAACTTGCCCAAGGTCATAAGTAGTAGTGGTGAAGCTGGGATTCGAACCTGGACTTTCCAACTGCAGAGTCTGCTCCTAGATGTTAACCAAGATGTTTCGTAAGGTAAAGGTTGCCTTCATTGTGGGCTGAGTATAGCCCTAAGAAATCATTGGGACGTTAGCTGGCTGGATTCTAATTCCTCTAGCATGTTCTGATACAAGGGCACACTCCAAGGGGGCAGGGGTGAGAAATGAGGGGAGGGGAGAGAGAGGATGAAAGAGAAACTCCAGTTGAGAGGAGTGTGTCTCTCAATTTAGCAGCAGCAGGCCAGAGGCTGGGAGCTAAGGAGGAAGGATAGACATGGCTCTCTGCAAATAGGCCCTGGCCTAAGGATTTTAAGAGCAATGATGTGTGAATTCCAGTTTGTTTTTCTTTCTTGTCTTGTAATTTGGCTATGCTATCCTCAGCCATATTTGTGTTTATTAAACCACAGAGTTATCTATTAGCTGATCTCTGAAGAGTAAAGAGTGTAGGGTTACGCTCATGTTTGGGGATTAGAAATAGGAAACTTGACTGAAGAAGTCTGGGTCAGCTGTCAAGCATGGAAGGTGGAAAACAAAAACCAGAATATACTGGAGATCATCAGAAATAACTGCTGAGAGGACTGGACTTTCCATGGTCCTGAAGGATGGGGTAGAACAATGAAATAGAAAATACTGGATATTATGGGAAGCTCAATCCTGTAAGTCTTGAAAACTGGGGACACTGAGTTACACATGTAATGCAACACATATGAAGTTAGACATCTAGGATGTTTTCCATTTCTTTTTGGCTATGGAATAACAATGTGAGATAAGGATGCCCATGATCACTGTTGACTATGCATCTTAACAATAAGACATGAAAATATGAAGACATAACTTGAAAGAGATGAGATCTTTTTTTATTTTTTGTAGATGATGATTGACTACATAGAAAATCCAAGAGAAGCAATAAGCAATGTGTTAGAACTAATAAGACAGTCCAGCAAAGTTTCTGGGTCCAAGACTAACTTAAAAATACTAATGGGCCCTAGCCAGTTTGGCTAAGTGGATAGAGTATCAGCCCAGGAACTGAAGTGTCCCAGATTTGATTCTGGTCAAGAGCATGTACCAGTTGTGGGCTTGATGCCTGGCCCTGATCGGGGCATATGGGGGAGGCAACCAATCGATGTGTCTTTCTCACATCGATGTTTCTCTCTCTGTCTCTCCCCCTCCTTTCCACTCTCTCTAAAAATGAATGGAAAAATATTCTCCGGTAAGGATTAACAAAACAAAATTTTTTTAATGGTATTCTTACTAACAATGCCAATTAGAAAATTATGATCTATATATTCATTTTTTATCAAAATCCCAAGAGGTATTTTAGATAAACTTTTCATTTTATCCTAAAAATCATGGGTAAGGTCTAAAAATGGCCAAGACAATTTCTGTTCTTTTTGAGTCACTTAGAAGAAAGAAGGAAAAACTATGAAGGGGAAGGGCAAAACACTGAACATGGGTGCTTGTAAACTAGCAATCTTTGAGGACAATATATAAATAATGCTACTAAAAGTGTTAATGAATTGTAGCAGTACCTGCTAGTTAATGTCTCTTTTAGCTTCTTTCTCTTAATGACCCAAGACCCTCATAAAGCACATATTTTGTATGCCCATTTCTTAATATTAGAGGCCTGGTGCACGGATTCATGCACCAGCGGGGTCCCTCGGCCTGGCCTGCAGGGATCGAGCCAAAACCAGCTCTCCAACATCCCCTGAGGGGTCCTGGATTGAGAGAGGGCAGTTCTCGGGGTGACGCACCCTGGAATCCTGGAATCAGGCTTCCTCTTCTCTGGTTCCGGGTGAGTCACCTGAGAACCGCAGCTGCCAAGTCACCACAGCTTAGCAGCTCCTGCATTGAACATCTGCCTCCTGGTGGTTAGTGCATGTCATAGCTACCGGTCAAAGCATCTGCCCCCTAGTGGTCATTGTGCATTATAGCTACCGGTCAGACGGTCAGATGGTCTCTTAGTCTTTTATATATAGATATTTGTCAAATGAAAGGATTCACAGCAGAGCAAGTTAGTAGAAGCTGATTGATGAAATGAAGAGAAGACTTAGCTACAGGTTGTAAACTGGTGGCCTAAGAATAAAATTAGACTTGCAGATAAATTTTGTGGAGTCTCACAATTTTGACTGGCATTGTGTCAGGAAATGTTTGAAATTGTTGTCAACATTTAAAAAGCTGGAGCTTTCATATGAAGACCATTGGGTAAAGCCACATTGCTGTTTCCATTCTTTCTGGAGAACTTGTCTTTGTTTGCTGTAGCTCATACTGCTCTTTATTATCTCCTTTGGCTTTCATTTGCAATGCCTGACTGGTTCTTACAGTCATTGAGTTTGTAACCCCTGACTTAATGCCAAAAGATGAGGAGGGATCCTTTTGTGGTCTAGGTTAGCATCTTTAGGTCTTGAAGAAAGCCAATGAAAAGAGAGCTAGTAAAATGTTTCTTTTGATAAAGAAATTGTTTGTAGATCACAAGTTAGAATAACATTCTTATACTTTGTTTTGAAATGCATTATAATTAAGTGAACTTTCATTTAAATAGCAATAGATATACTAAACTACTCTGGTAGCTACTAAAACTCTTTTATGAAAGACAAAGAATTTACCTTTCTATGGAAATAGTAGCAGCTACTAGCTCCCAAAAGTTGCCAAAAAAAGCGGAATACAACTCATAGTGGCCATTGGCATATTGCATCATAAAGTGACAAAAACTTCCAAGGAACTTGCTTGCTCTTACCACCACCTACAAATTTGGGACAGAGTGCCAGTAAAGATACAAGTGCAATTTGCTTTTCCCTCTTTTAAAAAAATTTTATTGATTTTTTTTTAGCGAGATGGGGAGAGAAAGATAAAAAGAAACATTGATTTGTTGTCCCACTTGTTTATGCATTCATTGGTTGATTCTTGTAACTGCCCTGATTGGGGATTGAACTTGCAACCTTGATGTATTGCTCTAACCAACTGAGCTACCTGGCCAGGTCTACAAGTGCATTTTGGAAAGCAACTGTGTCACAGGATGCCACTGTTTTGCAACATTTATCCCCTGGTTCAACAACGAAGAAAAAGACCCCCGAGAAACAAACAGTACAGTGAGAGGGGAATCTTGGGGGCAGCGCTGGGGAAAGTGGCAGAACAAACAGTACAGTGAGAGGGGAATCTTGGGGGCAGCGCTGGGGAAAGAGCTTGGCTTGGTTTTCTCTAGCCAGTGCTGGAAGGTGACCATCATTTGGTTGTTTCAGATCATTTCCACTGGCATTTGCCTGGTCTCTCCTGGTTATGTGCCTCATCTCAAGGTGTTTGAGTCCTTCAGTGGATGGCAATTCCTTAGTGACTCCTGCAATTAGCTGGTAAATCTGAGTTGACCTCAAAAATGCATAATATGTATATGCAAATATGAATCATTGCCATCATCTGACTATGGGACCTTGGACCAAAAGCTATAGTAGAAAGCTTGATTCTCTGTTCCCCAAGTCAGAAAATCAACCTGCCCCTCCCCCTCCAAAAAACAAACAAAACATCAGTGGAATACAAAGCTGATTTGAGTATTTTATTTATAAATGTACATTTACTATAAAAGCTGTTGCATTTTAGACAACTTTTTATTTGTTTTTTACTATTTCTTAGAGGCATTTTAGAATAAATATTTTAAATGAAGGTTAGTGTAACTGATACAGAACATTGGCCCACCCAGAACAGTAACATCTTTTGGACGGACTCACACATGAGGTGGATCATTTCAGTTCGTTAAGTCTTACACTGTGTATAGATAACTACAATATGTATTGCATTAATACCACTACATAGAAAGAACGAGGAAATGGCATGAAAGTTTGCTAGTGAATAACAGTTACCCATTTTTTTCTTAAGAAAGAGAAGGGACTGGCTTTTGGAGTATGAGAAAAAAAGTCAGACGTACTTCCTTGGGAACAATAAATCACTCACTTGCATCATCTTTTTTTTTTTTTTAAGCAAACACATTTACATAGTAGCTCCACAGAGCAGAGCATTTTTTTTCCCTGGGATCTCAAAGATTATTTGAAAAGAAATAGATCATACTCATTATGCTGCCTTGGAAAAAACAAGATCTAGTCTGCCCGAGCTGCCATGTAACAGACTCCAAATGAAATATAAATCAAATATAAATAGAAACAGTTGGCAATTAGAATTTAGAAAATGTTGGAGATTATTCTGTGCTGGTGACTATTGTTCATTATGGGAAAGCACATCTCGCAGTCAGAGAATGGGCTTTATTTTTCTTGACTCAATTCTAGCTTCAATACATGTACAATGAGTCTCACTAAGAAATGTGTATAAATGGGTCTGTGAAACCAGAAGAGAATGTGCAATATTCATATAATCCCTACATAACGGATGGAGTTCCACATGTAAAAAGTATCCTATAAAAATTGGTTATGAATGATCGTATTGTACATGTTTTTGTGCATTGTTTCCGGTAAAGTACTCTGCTAATATCATGCAAAGTGTAAACATCACATTATCAAAATATTTAATAAAACATGCAGGTGGTTAATCAAAATATTGAACTTAATCTGTACATTTTCAAAACTTTTTTCATGTTAATGTTTTCTATTTTTCTTTTTTTAAATTTTATTTATTTTTTCCCTGTAAAACAGCAAACACCTCCAGGAGAAGTCTTGGGAACTTGGAAGTGACTTCATCTCTCTTCAATGTACTGCATCCATAATTCATACTGTGTGCAACAGCTTTGCATTTTCTAAGGCACAATTTTTAATGAAGTGATGTGTGAATTTCAATCTAACCGCAGCTCATCCAAATGACAAAATGGTCAAAATACCTCCAGTGGCTGAGGGAATTTCTGCACTTATATGGAACCCACATGCAGAGAACCATCTAGCATGTAAAATAAATAATTGCTGGCCATACTCAATAAGACAGAAAAAAAATTATTGCTTACGTAACAGAAGAACATCTACTTGGTCTCCTTTAATGACTACATGAATCTATTAGGCAGACATCCACAGTCTACATTCACAAAAGGTCCTCTTCACTTATTTGCCATCATTTCAAGGCAGAATAAATAGTCCCCCTTTCCCCAGTCTTAAAGAAAATAACCTGGAGATTTAAAACATGATGCTTTTTAGTCACTCGATTCCCCTCTTGGCCCGATGAAACACCACACAGGGCTTAAAAAGTAAGCAGCTCTCCACAAGAGTTCCTCTCTGAAGGTCTCCATGAGCAAGGTTCAGAATTCTTGAGAGCAGAGAGAGCCGGTGATGTAGGAGAATGAGGAAGAGCAGATGTCCATTAGGGTGGGCAGCGCACATGGAACCTGCAGGTTCTTGCTGATGACACACCAGTGGCTTATCCCATCACGTGCCATTTGGATTCTATTAGGATGAACTTAATGCTGTTCTTTAGACACCTGTGCCCTCAAGGAGACCTTGCAGGCAAGGGTGAGCAGTGGTTTCACTTAATGAAGGACCGACCTCTATGAGGGTTTCCGGATGCCTTATGCTGAGTCTTTTATTGAATGTAGAGTCTGAAGAGGAGTAAGCAATAAAGCCCTGGTGGCTGGCATGGGCCCACCACTCTTTTGAAGATCAAACTTCCTCACATATTTTGGAAAGGACTTGGGAAATGATGACCAAAGTGTTTTCCTCTGGGTTCCCCTACCCTTGGGCAATGTCCAGAGTGTAAGTCTAGCTGATAGTGCAAGGGTTCTCTTTATTTGATGGCCCAGGCTCTATCAATGACATAACCTTCAAAGCACACTAAACCTAACACTAACGGTGCAATAATTTATTGGTATGACTTCTGCCTCAAAAGGTAAGTAACACAAATGTTTCAGGATTACAGTATATATTATCAGACTAGTGTCATTGCATTAAAAACAAGTTATAGCTCAGAGCTATATGATGTGGTTTTTAGTATCTGAAATGCATTACTTGTAAGCTCCTGTCTTAAAAGACCCCGTGTCTCAAATTGGCATGTCTTGCACTTTCTGCAGCTCAATTTTGTAAACACAAAGTATTTAATTCCTAGAAATACTAAAACAAAACAGGTTTATTGAATCATCTATCTCATCAACTCCCCAAAGAAGAGAATAACACATTTTAAACCATAAGCCTGTTCGACCATGCTAAGACCTTCTTTTGAACTAGTCAGAATCATTATAGTTCAATATTCTTTTGTATATATTGTGCAAATGCAAAAAAAAAGAGAAACAACAAACAGGAAAAACACAAACACTGTGCTATGAAAGAACAGATACCACCTTTTAGAGTAGCCTTTCAGAAACTAGATGAATGCTGAGAAGCCCCTGAACATGGGATTCTGTTAAACAATTGCCAGGGGACACTCTCAAGAGAGAAGTGGTGAGTGATCTGGGGTCTTGAAAACCATGTCACAATGTTGTAGGTTGGCCAGCACCTGTGATAAAGAAATCAGAGCGACATTTGGTTAAAGTAATCAATGCTTCTTGCTTCAGATGTTTAAAGGTTTCCCAAATTAGCTATGGCCGCTGCCAAAGCCTCTTCCCTCCAGGGAAGAAAACCTGTCCCACCCTCCCGCTCAGTGTGTTCCCAGGAGGAGCAGTATTGATATTACCCGGAGCTGGACTTCTGAGCCCCATCCCGGAACTTCACAAGAGCCCAAGTGATTCACATGCCCTGTAAAATTTGGTTGAAATCCTCTGGATTTCACCCTACACCATATGATCCCCATCAAGTTTTCTACCTTGCCTTCTTGGCAAATAAGCAAGAAAATACTCTCCCTTCTCTCAGTTTCTTTAGGCTTTGGTTTCTCTAAGAATAAAGACATTGCAACGGGAGACATTTGGCATATGATCTAGAAACAGGATTGCTGGAGTAGCAATGAGAAACACAGAACACCCAGTAAAATCTGAATGTCAGAGAAACAACAAATACAATATTTAGCCTAAGTGTCTATCCGATATGATATTTGGGATATAGTAGTGCTAAATCCTGAACACACAATATTTGGAACATATGCCGACAAAAGTAATTCATTATTTATCTGAAATTCAGACTTAACAAGGCAAAAAAATATTTAACTGGGCATCTTGTCTTTTTTTTAAATTTTTTTTTAAATCTGGCAACCCTATCTAGGAAGGATAGTTTGAGTCCTCTATTTCCTGCTGGAAGCTTCACAAACTTTCTCCTTCACTTTAGGCTCTACAGTTGTGACGAGGCAACTGAAACATTGGAAACGACCCTGGGGATTTTGCATTAAACACATTTCGTGTGAGTGAATGACGGAACAGACACAAAGACACAGTCACCCAACACCCAGGCGCAAATGGCACAAGTGAAACATGTGCCGGCTCGGTCCCTGACAGGTAATTTGTTTTGCACGTCCATTGCCATTTACATACGGACTTAAAAACTGTTTACATTGCTTTTAGGAATTGCATTTTAATATGCCGTTATGCTATTTTTCCTCTCCAAGAGAAAAATTTCATTTCAATGTGACTAGTTACTTGAAGAAAATAGGATTATATATTCAGGTTTTATTATTCCATACAATGAAATTATTTTGTTTCACTTAGCATGCCTATGATGTAAACCACCTCTCGTATCTATCCATCTCCCCTCTTCTCAACTCAGATCAAAATCAAATAAAGAAAAAAGAAAAATGATTTTTAGCTATTTCTTTCCATTCCGACTCTTTTATTGCATCTGGGATATAGTCAACCAATTCAAGTGTATTTATATTTCTCTAGCTCATCATTATCCCCTCCACCTATTCACTCCTAACATATATGTTTTCCTTATGACACCAAGAAGAAAAATAAGCAGTATTTTCAGATGTGCTGGTCATTCTCCCTGTGATGTGCGGACTTAAAGTTTAGCCTAAAATGACATTAACATTTATCTGGAAAACTAAACATGAGAGTAGAGTTAGGAAAATTTGGAAAAAATAATTAGAGTTAAGGTGGCCATTATGACTCAGTTTTAAAACATATTACGAAGCTATAATAATTAAAATTGTTTGACATGAGATAATAAATAGATTAATAAAACATATAATATCCAGAAATAGACCTAAATATATATGTGAACTTAGTTTATGAGAAAGCTGGCATTTCAAATTAGTTAGGAAAAAAGGGATTGCACATTAAGTTATATTCACACAATTGGCTAATTGGGGGGGGGGAGGGGAAGCTGGATATTTATCTCATTTCTAACCCCAAAATACAATCCTGATGTCACAAATCTACATGTGAAAAAGAAAACAAAAAACAATCCTAGGAGAAATCTCGGCTAAATTTATGACATTGGAGTAGTGAGAGTTTTTCTAAGTAGGATGCAAAACACAGAATCAAAAAAAAAGAAATAAAAAAAGGTATGTTAAGTTACCTAAGTAAAAATCCTTTCTATGAAAAAAAATCATAAAGTAGAAAGGTGAATGATAAGTGCAACAAGCAGCAAATATAAAATAAAAGGGAAATGTCTTGAATTTATAAAAGCTCATATAAGTCAAGTGCCAATAGGACAATGGGCAAAGGATAAAGAAGTACTTTTTTTTTTTTAATAGAAAAAGAAATCTAAATGGTGAATAAACATATGAAAAGGTGGTCAAACTTGGTGGTCAAACTTACTTATAATTAAAGACATACAGATCAAAGCACCTAGCAGAGTGGAAATTTAAAAGTTTGATGACATCCAGAGCTGACAGACATGGAGAGAAGGGGCCCTTAAGCACTTCGCAGGGAGAGAGCGCTTTTCTGGAAGATAGTTGGGAACTTGTCTGACAATGAGAAAGCACATGCCTTTAACTCAGCAGTCCCGCTGCTCACAATCTCCCCTGAGGAAATACTTTCAAATGTTCATCAGGACATATGTGCAGGACGTTCATGGGAGCATTTTAAAAATAAGATTAGAAAACTGGAAACGACTGAAATGCCCATTCATGGAGATTTAGTTTTAAATTATGATAAATCCATACAATGGGATTGTATGCAGCTATTAAAAACCCATTGAAAAGAATGAGGAGGAAAGACATGTTATATGGAAAAATTGTCAAGATATATCATTAAGTTAAAAACAACAGCAAGGAAAACTACGTGCAGAACACTGATTATGTAATTACCTTTGTGAAATAGAAACCAGCACATATGCATCTGGTGTGTCTGTGTGTACACCTATACAAACATATGTTCTGCCCCTTTCCCCAAGCAATTATTAGAAAGTGATCACAGTGGTTAACTTTGGATTTTTTAAAATTTATTTTTAATTTGGTATCTTTCTGAACATTCAATTTTCTAACCTTATACCACTTATAACTTTTACTTATTTATTTTTGAATGTCTAGGGAGATAGTAAGACTTTTTATTTCTTCTTAGTATCTTCGCATTCTAAAAAAAAAATCATAGTAAAATATTGCATTAAAATAACCAAAGAAAAAAATCCTATCTTTAGTCTACCTCCAAATCATTTTCTTATTTTTCATCTTCTGAGACTGTTACTGAAACTCCACAGTTCTTGTCTTTAGATTTGGAATTAAAAACAGTTAATGCCCCTTATTGCTGTATACATAGGAAAAAAATTCCTGGCCTAGATCCAAAAAGCTAATTTCCAAAAGAAATGACAATGAATCATCCAACTTCTCAATTAAAATAAAAATCTGGATGAAAACAGGTTACTGTCACCCAGAGGTGGGTTCATGTTTGCTTTCTGCTGGCATCCTTCAAGCACTTTAAATTATGGAAGTTCAGATTTATGGCGCTTTCCAAATCTGGCCCAACAGTCCTGCAACCTAACAGTGCCCTCTTCTGGTTCCATGGTTCACACTCAGCTGGCTGAGAAAACGTATAATTTATAGATGATAGAAAAAATCACCTTGAAAATGGGAATAAAGGGTTTAGTTTTCATTTCTAATGTATAAAGACAAAAAAATTCAGTTAAAAATATATTATATATTACACATGTATATAGGTATTTGTGTATGCATGGAATATATATATGTGTGTGTGTGTGTGTGTGTGTGTGTGTATATATATATATATATAAATACTATTTATACCAGATTTTATATGTTTGATACATAGTATCAATATTAATATTATATGTTTATACCATGTGTATATATATTATAATGGTATGAATATATATTTATAGCATATGTTTATATATGCTCTATATACATGGTATAAACATATATAATATATAACATAGATGTTACATGTGTAAATGATATATAATATCTGGTATAAATATATAAGATATAAATGTATATAATACAAAAATATAATATGTAATATAAATAGTCTAGTTTGATGGTACCAGCTCATCTCTAAGTTGGAACTGTTCTGAAGTCAAATGTTTATGATAGATCAAAATCACCTGGATTTGATTAAATTTTTATTTCACATAATTTTATTAAAAATGTATAAATTTCTCAGATTATACTTAACCTACAGCTATAAAAGAATTTAATTTCAATTTTTACTCTTAAAGTATTTAGTCTTGTAGATTTAGAGACCCTAAATTAGCTATAAAAAAAAGCTATAAAAATGTCACTTCCTTTACTTGGAGAAATAACAAAACATTCTTGTATTTCAAACACCATCTCTTCATTTCCCCACCCGTTTTTTTTGAAGAAAGAGTTTCTGACCAATGAATTTTCATAGAAGAGTCGCTTGTTGTCTAGGCCATGCACCAGAAGGGCTATATTTCTGATGGAGAGAGAGGCTGGATTCAGAGGTTTAGCCACTGGCTATTTTCAGATTTTCTAAACAGCAGCTGGGCAACAGCACCCCCTGGTGCCCCACAAACTGACATGAACCTTCTATGGTAGGAAACCCAGATACAAGGTCCGAGGGCAGGCTGCTCAAGGGAGCTTCAAGACAGCACATACTTGTTCAGCTCTGATTATGTGCTCAGGTATCTTGGCCAAAGGCAGAGATTCACAAAGAGCAGAACCCATCATTTGGCCTCTGGGGACTTTAAATTTAGTTGGGACCAACAACATATTGTGTCATGAAACTCTTGAATGTAGAACATGAAACTACTGAGGAGCTGGTGCTTGATTTGATGAACACTGGAGAGCCATTCTTCACACTTCAACCCCTCCCCACAATGGTGCTGGTCTTCTAAAGATATGCCTCGGCCAGCAAATAGTGCTTTACAGACCTTATATCTGCCTTCTATCTCACCCAAGTCTCTGTGGTGAGCTCAGGCAATGCCTCAAACTTGGCCCACAGTTTTTATCTGCTGGTGTATTAATGCACTTCATGATGAAAAGAATTTGGCCACACCCAAGCAGTAACTTCTAATAAAAAACAAGTGGTAATTAAGGGGTTACTTCATTATTGTTTCCTTTACCTAGATGTTAATAAATCTTTCCCTCAGGGTAGGAGTGTTAACTGATAGGCAGAAATAACTGAATTCCTCAAATGGGCCCTAGAAAGGCACACTATTGCACTCACTTATCTCAAGGTATTTCACCCCAGTACTTACTTCTGGATCGCATGTAGCAATCATTACAGTTTAGAAGACCATTTCGAATCCTCACATCCGTCCCACTCATTGCATCTCCAAGCTGTCCTTTGCAAATTCCACACTACAGGGGAGAAAGAACAGAGGTTATAAGATGCATAAGGAATCTCTTTATGATGCTTAGTTATTCTTTACATGAATAGCGCAATAATCACTTCTACAACCTCCATATTTTTTGAGCATCTGCTATGTGTTAGATGCTGCACTAAGAACCGACTGACAGCAACAATATACTTTTAGCATTTTATGGTAACTCCTTGCATTTTCCAGAGAAGGACGATGGTTCAGAGAAGTTAGCCTATTTGTCCAAGGTTGTAAACCCGGTAAGTGGTGTTGGGTTAATCCCAAAGCCTATGTTGTTAACCTCTATCACATGCCTTTTCTCAATCAAGATGGAAGAACCATTTTATTATTTTTTTAATTAAATTTATTGGGGTGACATTGGTTAATAAATTTATATAGGTTTCAAGTGTAAAATTCTATAAGACATCCTCTTTATATTGCATTGTGTGTTTACCACCCAAAGTCAAATCTTCCGTCACCATATATTTGACCAATGAACCATTTTAAACAGATTAAATTCTAGTGGTTTTAAAGAAACACATGGGCAGCAGGTTATGAATGAAAACTTGTCTGTGAATAATCACCTTACGCTTCCCAGCAGAGTTGGTAAGTTCTGTCAGATCAGAATTCCTAGGAAATAGCTATTCACCTTATCTTTCCACATTAAAGGCAGTGACACCCAGAGTCACAAATCCACTGAGAACGGCACTCCTTTCAGCTTAAGTCAGCTTGAGTGCAGACAGAAACTGTGGGATAGACTGCTGGGTGCGCCAGAGGAGTGGCAGTAGGGGTTGGTTCTTTTTTTTTTTTTTAATTGTTTTATTGCTTAAAGTATTACAAAGAGTATTATATATGTCTCCTTTTTTTTCCCCCTCCCCTTGACTTTCCCCTAGCCTCCCATACCCCCCCAGTGTCTTGTGTCCATTGGTTATGCTTATATGCACGCATACAAGTCCTTCGGTTGATCTCTTACCCCCACCCCCAACCCTCCCCGGCCTTCCCGCTGTAGTTTGACAGTCTGTTCGATGTTGCTCTGCCTCTGTATCTATTTTTGTTCATCAGTTTATAATGGTCTTAAAGTAGGGGTTGGTTCTGATGCCAGCCTCTCGCCAGGAGAGCAGGACTGAGCTCAGGAGTAGAGGGCCAGCCTCAGACTCATGTTTTAAGGTCATTGGGGACAGAGGGAGGCTTCATCCAAATTATGTTACAAGTTGCATCTACATTGCACAGCTATGTATCTTAAAGCATCAGGTCAGGCCAGGAAGTGAAAGACGAGAGAAAATAATGGCCTTGACAGCTTAGAAAGGGAATCTCCTGCCTCTTCAGAATTTGCAAAGACTCTTTGCCACCTCTATTATTTTGAGTTCTGGTAAAGTTTCAGAGAAAAAACTCTGGTGTTGGAACATATTATCTTGGCATTACCATGAGATTTTAAAATGTAAATGCCTTGAACCTCAAAATACTCTTAGACCATTTAAGACGTGCATTATCTTGGTTAATTTTTCAATGAGAATATTGATAAATTGAGTCTCATTAAGTCTCCATATTGTGTTTTATCCAAGATAAGCTTTGCTTCCCAGTGAGAACTGGTGCTATTAAATTTTGGGACAACTTCACTTACTTTCCCTTAGCTTATCAGTAAAGTGGGAGTTATTTTAACCCCATGCCAGTGTACTTTATAGCTGAGGAATCTACCAACAAGACATAGAACAAAATTCAAGAAGGACAAAGAAAGCACATCAGGATTATAAAGAGAAAGAAATGACTTTCAGAGGAAGAAGGTTTAGTTTCAAAAATTATATATTAATTTGAAAGATGTCTATGAGCAAAAAAAAAAAAAAAAAAAAAAAGAAAAGAAAAAGAAAAAAAAGATGGGAAATACTGAAAGAGGCCAACTTATAAATTTAATATAATAAATCAGTTATAACTGATTAAATCACTTACTTAGCAGGAAATTTGGAATTAGAATCCAAGCCTCCTCATTTTCAGTATACATATTAATTCATTTATCTAAAAATGTTTACAGACACCATGTCTGCTAGGTGAAGAGGAAATAGTGGTGAGCCAGGCAGACATGGCTCCTGCTTTTATGGAGTTGATCGTTTGTTAAAGGACATGATAGTTAAACAATGCAACAGTGAGTGGTACGGACCATGAAAGGTTCTGTAAGGCCCTGGAACAAAGGCGAGAGACTTAGTCTGGGGGAGCAGGGCAGCTTCTCAGAGGAAGTGCTCTTCAGTTTGGGATCACAGACACATTCAACTTTGCCACTAGCTCTAACCACACTGAACTGACAGAAAATCTTCAACATCAAGTCACCAGAGTTTGAGAAGCTGCAAAGATATCACCTTCCCAATAAATTCACATGCCCTAAAAGATGCAGAAGTATCACTGGCCTCCCAGGGTAGCATTCTCAGCTTCCTGCCAGAATAGATGCTCTTCAGCAACAAAACCTGTTTCACAAAGACACATTGCACAAACCTGTTTTGCTACTTCTAAGCTGACTCCCCAGAGGAACGCATGATAGCTGAGAGCTTCCTCCCGAAGGCTGGACTCCACACACACTCTGTACACACAGAAGGGCGGGCCTCATGAGGAAAGGCCATCAGGGTTCCCAGGAGGTCTGTCTCAGCCCAGAGCGACGCCCAAGGACACCACAACATTGTACTTAGAGAGGAGCGTGATGAATACATACCCTGAAGCACTGGATGTGAAAATAGAGATTGAGGGTCTCAATGATCATCGCAGCTCCTTTCCCCAAAGGAAGCCCACAGGACGAGCACAGCTTCTTCCCACTTATAGACCTAGGTCAAAACCACGTATAATAATCAAACCTCCCATTTAGAAGAGTTGGTTACATACACAAACATGTAGCCTCATGCAAAAAAAAAAACATTCATGAGTGAAATGACAATTACTAAACTGATAATGAGCAGAAATGAAGCATTAGATGTAATTGGCAAACAAGTGCTAGATTAAATACAATGGGCCTCCATTGTGATAGAGAACCTGGCATGCATGTATATATGCATGTGTAAGTGTATTTTAGTTAATTGTTACAAGAAGTGGGTGTTGTTTATTCAATCACAATGATCAAATGCCTTGAAATGATTCCATGTATTCATCACGTTTATATAAACTCTAAAAGATGATCAAATTTAGCTTTAGTAAGATTTCAATGTTGCTTTAAAATTTTCTATAATTGATTCGTTGGCCCACGAGGGCATTTCTTTTACCTATTAAGCAAAGAAATCTTTTTTGTATAAAAATAGAGAGGCAATTGTGATACAGCCCCACAGGCCACAGGCCAATATGGGATCAGATCCCTGCTTTGTCCAGAGGTTCTGGGATCTGGTGCAAAGAACTCCCTTTGGGTTTCTCTTTCAACTTCAACATGAGAGGGTTGGACTAGATGATCTCTACTGCTCCTTCCAGTGTAAGCTCCGCGACTATAACCTGGGCACTCGGGAGTTGTAAGCCCCTTGAGGGCATGGGCTGCCTGGACCCCATCTCTGTACCCCCCAGCCCCCAGCAGAGGGCCCGCCAGTGGACAAAGAATCAAACCCAGCAGACCAACACCAGGCGAGGGATAAGCTGGCTGTCTCCTGGGGTGGCTTGCCCACAGCTAAGATCAGATGGCACTGGTGCCTATCATCTGGAAAGCGCTTGGAATTGCACAAGAAGTTTGAAAATGTGCAATACCATTCAGAAGCCAACAGAGTACAGAGGGACAGCAGAAACAGAAAGGAAGAAAACAGAGAAGAGGAAGAGTTGCCCTGAGCAAACCCTATTTATTAGGATTTCCCTCTACCCAGTAGTTAAATGAAATGTCTAAATCAAAGAAACCTTGGAGTAGTCCTCAGTAATTGGTCTCTCCAGTGAATGGGAACTCGGCAGCTTTTAAGAACATCATGGGGCCCAATTAACGTCCGGCAGCCATCCTTAGAGAGCCTGAGTAGGGGAAGGAAGGATGCAGTTTCGCTGCTCGGCCCCGCCTGGTTCTCTGTAAGAGCCATCAGCCTAGAAGGACCGAGCCGTCTTGGAGGGGAAGGCGCCGACTGAGGAGCCCGGCAACTGTCTGGTGGATTTTATTATTAGATTGCAATTTCCACAGAATATAATTAAAGGCCTGTGGCCACAGCCGCGCCAACGTCATGCACTTGGCTTTCTCTCTCCTCCTGCCTGTGTGTGTGTGTTGAAAGCGATTTGATGGGCAAACTTCTCAAAATCATTCGGCAAGCATTAATTCGGTTCGAATTATGCTTGGCAGGCTCTAGTCAAAACAGAGCCGCCTCCGAAAGGCTTGCTGACCTCTTGTACCGGTTTGGTGACTGGCCAGGAGGGGTGGGAGGACAGGGGGACAAGTGTCCCGCCTGGAAGTGCTCTCGAGGGCTTTTCCTGTAACATGGTAAAGGAGCCAACAATTATGACAAGAAAAGAGAAGCCCAACCCTATAAGAGAAGACATTTTAGGTACGGAAATAAAATACTTCCCTGATAACCAAAGAAAAGACCACAGAGTGTCCTAGAGGTAATTATTTCTAAAGAACAAAAATAGTAAATCCGTCTGGCAAAGATTATACATGCAATGGCTGCATGATATCAGACCAGGCTGGCGCTGTTGAACGGAAAAGCCAGAATAATTTTTCAATAGTTAAAATTGCATGCTGAGTTAGATATAAAAATCAAAGATGCGGGGGAGAGAGGGGCAAGGTAAGTAGGGATTTAGGAAAAAGCGTGTGCAGAGAGCCCAGAAAGGAAGGGCAGAACTTCAAGGAGGTATTTTCCAGTCGGGTAGCTTCCACCCTCTAACAATACATTCATTTTGAGGACATGTGATGAGGGGTGGTGTTCACAACATTTAATAACGGCTATGGCATTGGCATCTACAAAGCACAATGGTCCCCAGCCAGACGCTACCAGACGGTTTCACAGGTGTGGTTGGTTGCACACCCTGCCTGTTATTAGCTGTCAGTTCTGGGCTCTTGCTTATAAAAGTTCATTTCATTTGTACAGAAAGGGGCAGAACACAGAAAAAAAAATGAGGATAAGAGAAATGCCAACACAGGAGTGAACAGAACACGAGTCCACCTGTCTTCTAACTGGTTTTGGAATAACTCACCGAGCCCCCTGCCCACCCACACCTCCTCCTCCAAAATATCATGTTTTGCCCTGGTCGATGTGGCTCAGTGGCTAGAGCGTTGGCTTGTGGACCAAAGGGTCCTGGGTTCAATTCCCGGTTAGGGCACATGTCCGGCTTGTGGGCTCGATCCCCAGTGCGGGGCGTGCAAGAGGCAGCCGATCCATTATTCTCTCTCATCATTGATGTTTTTCTCTCTGTCTCCCTCTCCCTTCCTCTCCAAAATCAATAAAAATATATTAAAAAAACAAAAACAAAAAAACAAGAAAACAAAATGTCATGTTTTCAGGTAATACCCTAGAGCAGTGGTTCTCAACCTTCTGGCCCTTTAAATACAGTTCCTCATGTTGTAACCCAACCATAAAATTATTTTCATTGCTACTTCATAACTATAATGTTGCTACTGTTATGAATCGTAATGTAAATTGTAATGTGAACGGGTCATTCGACCGCCAAAGGGGTCGCAACCCACAGGTTGAGAACCTCGGCCCTAGATGATAAGTACCAGGGCCTAAAACATGGTTGGAAATCACTGCAATAATCAATAACAATCATGATTACTTCTGTGTGATTTCAGTTTCTATTTATTCCGAGTGTCATCTAGGCACATAGAAACAAAATTGGGTAGACATAAGAGAAAAGGGGGAAATGGTTCAAATACCATTTTTAAAATGTAACAGAAAAATAAGGTAACAAGTTGAACTTATAAAACAAGTCATCCTCATCCTTATCACCATCCTCATTGTCTACCACCAGCTGTACTACATAGTACTTATTATTCGTCAGGTACAAAACTTCACAGGTAGGTAGTATTATTATTGTTGCCATTTTATACATGAAGAAACTGAAGCAGAGAAAGATTAATCAACTTGCTCAAAGCCCTACACAGGCAAGTGGCAGAGTCAAAATCTGAATCCAGGTGGTCTAGCTCCAGGTAGAGGACTCGCTAAAGTATAATGAATGTTGTATTTTAAAAGCTGATTACAAAGAACCTCTGGTTTACATATGATCTTACCATTGAACTGTGGTATCATTTTGAATTCTTCTACCACTTAACCATCAAGTACTTTGAATAAGTTATTTAATTTCCTTGAGCCTCTATTTCCTCCTCTGAAAAATGGGAATAATAACTCAATTGAAGTTATTGGGGGAGCTCAGTGAGTTAATTGATGAAAAGATGCGAAAAGCTATGTAAACCCTTCAACACAGTGCCTTTTATATTGAAATGTATCAAAAATATTAGAAACTATTGTAAAAAAATAGAAATCTTACAAAATTAAAATATAGCCTAAGGTAGCTACCTAAAATGGAGAGAATGATAATGAATATTTGTCAATAGATTTTGAGACATTTTAACTCACTTAAAGAAATTGTTAATACAACATGCCTGCAAATTTTTTTCAATGTTTAGATTTGTGGGTTAAAAGCATTACTTTGCTTCTTTCAAATTGATAAACTCAGAATGTATTACTTGTCTGGGAGACTGTCCTAAATTTCCATAAACGTTTGTTAACGTGAATCAATGAGATTCAAGAGCGAGAAAGCACGAAAATGCTGCTAACACCTTGCTATCACATGCTTTTTCATTTTCCCATTCTTAGTCAATACATTAAAAAAAAAAGGAATTCCACATCTATCTTTGGTTACTCACTTCCGCCTTTCACTCGGTGACTCCATCTGATGGTTAATGCTGTTATCCAATGGGAGGGTTTTTGGCTTCACATCTTCTAAAGTGTTCACTGGCGGGTTTGATACCTGCTGATTCTGGGATGGACCTGAGGCCAAACAAGAACATAAGCTTAGTGCTCAGTAACATCACCTTTGCTTAGCAAGTCACCTTTCTTTAAAGTGCTAATGTCTGCTGAGGGCTCAAGGTGAGTCCGCGAGGAGAGTCTGGCACTTGGCGGTGGGAGTTTACTCACGGTGCTATAGAGCATAAGCTAGAAGAGAAGCCTGTAGCCAATAGAAATCATATCTGTCTGGATGACAAGCGGGGCTGTCGTACAATAATTTAAGCATCAGTTGGTCTTCTCCTTCCTTACCCTGAGCTAGCTGCGGGTTCACCCCACAGTGGGGGGCCCCAGCTTCTGTATCCAGCTGATCATTTTGATGGGTTCCTTTTGATACAGGGTTCTCAGAATCAGTCAAGGCCCCTTGAATAAGTCTGTTAAAATAAATAAGTATATTTCAGAGCAGAGATAAAAGCAACTGAACTAAAATTATTGATCTTATCCTTTAGGGCAGTGGTCGGCAAACTGCGGCTCGTGAGCCACATGCGGCTCTTTGGCCCCTTGAGTGTGGCTCTTCCAGAAAATACCACATGTGGGCACGCACATATAGTGCGATTGAAACTTTGTGGCCCATGCGCAGAAGTCGGTATTTTGTGGAAGAGCCACACTCAAGGGGCCAAAGAGCCGCAGTTTGCCGACCACTGCTTTAGGATATGGAAGTACCAATTTCAATATGAAAAAAACAAACAAATGAGGGCTAACTAATGCTTATTTGTTCTTTCTATTTTAAACTAGGTTTAAATGCTCTGAACTGCTACTCGTTTTTATTATCCATCAATTTAACAAGCTTGAGAAACCATCATTTCTGATGTCCCTCCCACCTCCCTGCCCACAAAGCAATTCATTCTAATAATTTCAAGAGAAGCCAGAGCTAACTGCTGGACTCCCCCAGATTTTCACGAGAGGACTTATTGGAGAAATCATTTGGACCACGTGGGACTTTGGCAGCCCATGGTTATCTACATAGCTTTTTTATAGCGTCTGTGTATAAAGAAAGGAGAGGTTGAAGAGATTTTAAAGGGTCTCTGGCAACAATAGAGGCTGTTTGGAGAACTATAAAAAACTCACAAAAAATGCTTATCAGTGGTGCTCAAAAATTCCTGATGGGTGGCTTTCACTTCATAAACCTGGAGAGTCCCTTTAAACAGTGTTAACTGGAAGCAGATGTGCTATTCCGAGGGCTCTGCAGACTCTGGACGTGGGCCCCGAGCTCCTAAACCAGTGATGGCGAACCTTTTGAGCTCGGCGTGTCAGCATCTTGAAAAACCCTAACTTAACTCTGGTGCCGTGTCACATATAGAAATTTTTTGATATTTGCAACCATAGTAAAACAAAGACTTATATTTTTGATATTTATTTTATATATTTAAATGCCATTTAACAAAGAAAAATCAACCAAAAAAATGAGTTCGCGTGTCACCTCTGACACGCGTGTCATAGGTTCGCCATCACTGCCCTATACCCTACACCTCACCCAGTCTTCTAGCTGATGGGTATAGGAGGATTCTCAGAGCAAATCCCACCAGAAGAGCTCAGCTCTCAGCCAACACTGCCCTATACCCTACACCTCACCCAGTCTTCTAGCTGACGGGCATAGGATTTTCAGAGCAAATACCACCAGAAGAGCTCAGCTCTCAGCCAATCCCAAATTCACCAGTCTTTGAAAAGAACCCTTAGATAGCCATTCCTGTCTTCAGGCCCCTTTGAGGATGGTGTGTGTGTGTGTACGTGCAACCTGGCCCAGAATGCACACTTATCAATATCTGTCTAGTATCTCAGAGCTGCAGAGACAAACATCTGTCTCATAAAGAACGTGCTCGTGGCAGAGCCTCCTGGGTTTCTGTGGATCCCTTCTAGGTTAGGTGTGGGGTGGAAGCAACAAACTTACCATTGCCCAAAGCTACAATCCGATTCTGCTCCCAGGGAATAGACTAGAACCCATGAGTGTGTGTGGGGGGGAGGGGTTTACCCACACCCAATCAATTTGTTGGTTGTTCTTTATATTACCACACAGAGTAAACGTGGCTTCTCACAGCTCAGAGGATACGAACAGCAGGGTTCAAGTCCACACTGAAACCACAGTGGGTGGGACCCCAGCACATGTCTTCAACCTCTATCCCTCCAGACACATGAACCATTTCAGGTGAGCAATGCTTAGGTTTAGGGCTTTGAATGGACCACATGCCCCTTCTCTGATCTACACTGTCTCCTCTCATTTGAAAAAGTCTTCGCCTATTTAAAAATCAGGCTATTTATATTCAATTACATAAGGACACTGACTTCAGAGTCATTAGAATGTGTTCAAGCAATATGTAATGTATTACTGGAATGATCATTTCAAAGGCGAATATGATTTGCATCAGCAATGAGCACTCTTCCTGGGAGAGAACAGGCAGAGCCCGGTTTTGCGCATTTAGACCGACAGCCTGAACCGTGGGGCATACCTGCCCTTTTCCTCCAGGGGACCACTTTCTCTAGTCTCAGGCAACAAGCCATTGTTGCCCCCCTGGAATGGTTTCTTCTGTCTTGTCTCTTGTTCTTCTTCATGACAGTTTTCCAGATCCATCTTATTCTAATAGGGAAAACAAGGATAATCTTAAATATAAATTAAACCCACTTGACAACACTCATCTCTGGCTATGAAATAGCTGAAACTTTCCCACCCCCCCACCCCCTAATCACATTGCCTGCAAGTTAAGGAACAGTTGTTCAAATTAATTGAATAGTAACTGAGCTATAACGATTTAAAATAAACGTGCAATCTGGATCTTTTTCAGAAGTTGTCATAGAGGGGAGTAGTTTAGAACTGCTAATTTCAGGACAAATGGCTTTCTAGTGCCCACCATTATCTTCTTTAATGCAGATTATAGACTATCCAGGGTTTGGTATGACTTCTGTCCACTACCTCCATGACCTTGTTTGGGGGATGTGGAGGTAGACCAGCTGTTCGGGGCTCTCTCCAGCCCTTGAAGACACATGTAAATTTCATGTGGAATTTTAAGAGTGGGTTAGAGGCAACTTTGATGGAGGCTGGTGGAGAGCCTGCTGTTGCCATCCTGCTGCTGCCACCAGTGCAAAGGGATGTGTGCTATGGTAGAGAGGAATGCATGCCTATTGAATGAACGAATGATGGGCAGAAAGAAGTTTTCCCAGCACAAGGCCCTTGAATTAGGACCTAACCAGCCAGTGCAGAGAGACCTTGGTAGCCAGCCTGTGGGGCAGATCTGGCCTCAGCAATGATTATACTGCCCCTTGGGCAATGGCTCTAGGATTTGGCCATGGAATGATAACACCGTGGTGTATGATGGCCATGTAGTAGCTGACACGAACCCAGGGAAATAGCCAGTCCTGGATTTAAACTCATGGAAAACTTGGCTGTTTGGTTTTGTGCTTCTTTTAGGTTTATTTCACAAACTGCTTTTAATTTATAGTCTCACCACTGTTCCATTGCCTTCAGTCACAGAGGAGGATGTCGACAGCTGGTCTGCGGAACTTGAAGAAATAGTAAATGGAACCACAGTGTCTTCAATTATTTTGCGCTCCTAAGAGGAAGAACGGGAAGTAATGAAGGGGGGAAAATCAAGTATCATATTTGTCAAGAGAAAAATTTCATTAAGGAACTTTAGAAAAAAGACATCAGAATTATATGCAAACAAGCAGGGCATTAAAAAAAGGTCTTATTTTCTAAAAGCACATAAATCAGATAATACTCTCTACGGGCAATGATTTGGAAATTAGCATTTGATTTAATAGGAAAACAAAGTCTTCACAAATTAATTAGTTAGTGAGATGCAAGAAGCCTTATTAGAAATGCTGTAGGGATTGGATTATGTACAAAAATTATTATTGAAGATAAAATTCACAATGATATTAATCATAAACAAATTTTAGATAATATAGATAAAATGTAGCTCCCTTTAAATTACCTAATGTGGTCTGGTTTGTTCATCTAAAAAATATGAAACCTACAAAACCAAATATCCCTCCCCACCATTCCTTAGCACTGCACTCAGCCTACTGTACCAAATCTCTTTACTAAATCTCTTCAGTACCATAGAGTGAGTGCAGTGGTAAGACTCATTTGGCCTTGATTATCAAAATTATCCTCATAAAATTAATTCACCACCAAACATGTTTGCTCAAACAAACACACTGACAAAGACATTGATATTTTAATGTCCTCTCTCTAAGATCAATCAAGAATCTGATTCTCTGACTAGAGATCAGATATAATTATATTGTCACCCTTGACCATGACTCAGCACACCCGATCACAAACTGAATTTGGTGGAATTGTGGTCTTTTAGTGCCTCCAGGATACGACTCTTTTAAAGAGGTTGATGGGCTCTTCTATGGGTGAAGATCATCAGCCACAGCCACACGTACACACATACCACAGACACAAAGAGCCTTGATAGCCTCTGAGGAACTAGGACCACAACATCCAATTCCTTCTCGGGAATTTCCTACCTCCTCATAGTATCTGCGTTCTTCCTCTTCCACCTCCTTTTGGGCCTTTTCCCACTCTTCTTTCAGCTTGTCCTGCTCTTTCTGGTATCTCTCCTGTTACAGAATTTCCAGAGACTGTTCTGAACCGACCATTGCACACATCACTGGACATTCCCCCCTCAAAGCCACCATGTTGAGAGACCATCTTCTTGTAACATTCTGAATCTAACCCGATCATGTAACACAAGGGGAAGAGCATGGTGTGGTATGCAAACTGGTTAGGAACCTAAAAATCCCAGGGAGAACAGTACAGGGTGGGGGCAAAAGTAGGCTTACAGTTGTCTGTATGGAAAATAATGCAGTAATTAATAAATAATAATGCAAGTTTAAAACTGTTTTGTGTTATCACAACTGTAAATCTACTTTTCCCCCATTGTGTATTTTTAAAAAATATATATTTTATTGATTTTTCACAGAGAGGAAGGGAGAGGGATAGAGAGTTAGAAACATCGATCATCTGCCTCCTACACACCCCCTACTGGGTATGTGCCCGCAACCAAGGTACATGCCCTTGACCGGAATTGAACCTGGGAGCCTTGAGTCCGCAGGCCTACGCTCTATCTACTGAGCCAAACCAGTTAGGGCCCCATTGTGTATTTTCTGCTGTTGTTTTGTAGAACTGTTTTTCAGATATGAGTAGGCATTTCCTTACGAAAAGAGAAAAGATGAAAAGATTGAAAGACTCTAAACTCTTCCTTCACTTGAGTTTTGTCCTAGGAGGTTAGCCAAACCACTAGTTTTGCCATTCTGCTAAGAGAAATACGTTTGCTGCTGGGAGAGTTTAATAAAGGATAAAAAAACGAATTCTGCAGAAAGGTCCAAAGTGGACAAGATGGTAATTAGTTGAGTAGTCAAATTACTCTTTGCTTGAAGCCATTGTACCCAAATGCAATGTCCCTAGCTTTAAGTAACTTCTGAATTAAGAGTAGCTTTTAAACAGCCCACTAGAAGGCTTCAGTATCAGAACTGCCATTTCTTATTTCCAGAAATAATACAACCCTAGTCACCACTTCTGGGGGAAAAGAATCAAATACTGTGAATAAGAACAGCTTTGAAAATGTGACCAGAGTTCCTGACCGCTGACTGGAAGAAATGAATAAATGGTGATGAAAATTAATGCCTAAAATGAGAACTGATACCCCTGGATGCTTGGGAATGGCATCCCTGACTTGACCGAGACAAAGGAATCAGTATGACATAACAGTCAAATACTTTAGGCTAATTATTGCCAAACCTCTCTCTGAGGCTCAAACAAGTCTGGGCTCCTATCCTCCTGGGGAGGCGCTGGGATCTCCTCCAGGCCTTACCTGTTGTGCCGTTATCTTAGGAGCGGAAGGGCTGTATTGGGATTGCAAGAGCCTGGTGTTCATGTGAATGCTCTGGCAAAGCCATGGTTGGTCAACCCCTGGCGGGCTTTTCTTTCCAGATAAAGGTTTTGTTACAAACACCTACCACTGTAAAACCTAACATTGTAAAGTTTTAGAGAGGAACTTCAGGGGCTTTTCAAATAGAGAAAACAGACCTCAAAACTTCACAAAAGCTGAAAAACAAGTGAAGCATTTTAGGTTCATTGGTTCTAGAAGCTCACATCACATGCTCCCCTCCCCAAGAGGATGCACTGATACCTGTAATTCGGGGCGTGAAAGACGTACGTCTGCCCCCCCCCCATTTCCCCACAAACACCTTTCCCCAAAGCCCACAGCCCACCATGCCACCCCACTGGATAACAATTCGGTGGGGCAGGAAGGAGACATACGCCCGCATCTGTAACCGTGGTCCCCTTCCAGAGGGTAGCAGACAGGGTGTGCGTGGCCCGCGCACTTGCCTGCCGTCTGTGCTCTGTGGATTCCCTGACTCTGGGCTGTGCATCTCTCAGCTGGAAAATGGGCTCCTGATTTCCGAGAGAACAGCAGATGGCTGGGGCTGGTCTGGCCTCTCTCTTCCAAAGGCCCCAGAAGTCCCCGTGTGACTTTGCTGAATCCGGTTCTTACTAACATTTTGATAGTGAAGATTTACCTCCATGCAGTTTTGAAAAGTGTAAAATTTAACTGGCAGACCTAAAGCCACTCTACAAATAGCGGGCTATCTAAACGGATCTGCTCCTGCCCCTCGGGAAGTAAGCCAAAGGGATTAGAACACAAAATATTTTTTAAAAAAGTAAAATAAACTTGCATGGAGCATTGCTTTCTACACAGCAGCAGAAAGCCATGAAAATGAATGAGATTTAAAATGCTTTTTATTTATGATTTTTTTCCGACGCTCTATCCGCTGAGCCAAACCGGCCAGGGCAAAAATTCTTTTTATTTATGATTTTTTTGGGGGGGTAAAATCAGTACTACTGGGGGTATCATGGAAAGAACATGAGTTTTAAAGTCATCAAACTTGGATTTGAAACCAAGTTCAACCCTTGTTAGTTGGGTGACCTTGAGCTATTAATTTAACTTCTTTGAGTCTTAGTTTCTTCAATTGCAAATGGGGGCTAATGAGATATACTCTGAAGAGTTTTATGAGAATTAAATTAGATAAAAGACATCAAACACCAACCACAGTTCCTGGCACAACTCAAGGACTCAGCAGGGGCTACTTCCTAAGGTTACTGGGGCTAATGAGATATACTCTGAAGAGTTTTATGAGAACAAATTAGATAAAAGATGTCAAACACCAACCACGGTTCCTGGCACATCTCAAGGACTCAGCAGAGGCTACTTCCTAAGGTTACGAGGTTCCTTTTTGAAGCCCTGTTACCCAACAAACATGGCATAAAACAAGTAGGCACATGAGCTATTTACTCCCAGAATTTTTCTAGAAATGAAAGTTTTTACTCAAAGATGGAGCAAATATTTCTACTTAAGAAACAAGAGCCAGGCTAAATTTGATTTCACATGGATGCTTTCGAAGTGCTTTTAATAGCCCTAGCAGGTTTGGCTCAGTGGATAGAGCATTGGCCTGTGGATTGCATGCACCTCGATTGCAGGCCCTGGTTGGGGCACATGCGGATAGAAATGAAAGTTTTTACTCAAAGATGGAGCAAATATTTCTACTTAAGAAACAAGAGCCAGGCTAAATTTGATTTCACATGGATGCTTTCAAAGTGCTTTTAATAGCCCTAGCAGGTTTGGCTCAGTGAATAGAGCATCGGCCTGTGGACTGAAGGGCCCCGGCTCCATTCTGATCAAGGCACGCACCTCGATTGCAGGCCCTGGTTGGGGCACATGCGGGAGGCAATCAATCCGTGTGTCTCTCTCACATGGATGTTTCTCCCTCTCTGTCTCCCCCCTCCCTTCCACTCTCTCTAAAAATCAATGGAAAAATATCCTCGGGTGAGGATTAACAACAACAAAAAAGCTTTTGACAATTCATTTCCACTGCTTCTGGAACTGGAATTTTATTGACAACAAAGGAGGTGAGGACTGCCTGAGTTGGCCGTTAATCAATACTTGGAAGTTAAAAAAATTTTTTTTAAGTGAAATGCTTTTTCCTTGTGTTCATCCATATAACCTCTGGTATGAGGAATTAGACACAGGGCATTATATCTGCAAAATGAACTAACAGACTCACTGATTTCTGAGAAGAATTCAATTCCATGTTTTTCCTGTGCTAAAAGTCTATTTAATACGACAAATTAAGAGAAGGCCTGGCCAGGGCGAGGGACACGAGTAGCCTATGGGCTGTCATGAGATGGACACACACAGCAGAGCCTTCATTTATCTAAAGGTCCTCTTTGTTGGCAGCACCGCTATTTAATCTTAGTCCCTCTTTGGTTCCCTTCCAAGAGGCTGATAGGATTCTGTGAACCTTTTGGGAGCTAATGAAAACACGAAGTAATTAGCCCCTGGCACGGGCAGGCTTTTGCTTCATTTCTTTTAGAAGCGATTTCTTAAATGTATTCACGCTCAGGAGCGTAAGATACTCATTCTGCATATTGATCCCGGGTCTGGGCAAATAGGACCGCTTATCTCAGCAGAGCTGCGTTTTGTGAGAAGTGATGCTTGCCGCGCGTAGAACTGCATCATTTCTTATGCCGCTGCTGCTGCCCACACTGGCCATCTCTAACCACTCACCACTGCCCACCAACGTCCCCTGAGATCAGGCAGTGGGGAGCCCCTGCTGTGGAACCCACATAGCAAACAGTCAGACTCTCTTTTTTTTGGTCTTTTAAGAAAGTTTTTTGTGAGTTTGGGAACCAAGTCAGTGAACAGAAATAATGGGAGAAAAATGCACGAGTCAAAGCGGACGGACACCCAGGCCACAGGGTATAAGGTTGAGAGGGTCTGGGAGGGCGGGGGTGTGGGGGAGAAATCCTAGCCGGTCCCTGGGGAATCAGCAAAAGGGGGGCTGCAGTGTTGAAAGTTGGCTCCCCCATCGCCCAGAACAGGTGCTGAGGCGAACCAGGTTCCCCAATAACTGTACTTCCTCCCTTCCCCCTGATGGGGTAATTTGGGGAGACACTTATAACAGCTTGGGAATCTTGAAAGAAAAAGTGAGGTGAGGGTGGGAGAGTTAGGGAGAAAGGGAAGAGTCTGGGGTACAGTCAAGGAAGATAACGTTCAGAGAAGATTCAGAGGCACAACGGTGATTTTGCGGCTGCACCCAAGGGCTCTGTGCTGGTTGACTGAGCCACAGAGGAACTGAATTCTACAAATCGGGCGGGAATTTCAAGGGTGAGCAAGGGTGACAGGCTCAGCCCTGGAAACACCCAGTTTAGAGAAGAGCCAGGTCCGCAGAAAGTGTTCAGATAAAATTGAGCAGCATGGCCTTTGACAGTGGCACATGTCTGGACACTTTAACTAGCAAATGCTTATTTTATGTCACTGAAATAAAAAATTGAAAACTAAGTGTGTGGTTACTATTACTCAAGGTACTGATTGCAACAAGGGGCGCAACAAAGACAGTTTGGGTCTTACAGAAAGAGTCCAGGCAGGGCCCTACTGCCAACTTAACTATGTTGAATGATTGTTCTCATAAAAAAAAAAGATTTTGAATGCTTACAGAAAGTGCATATTTTAATACTAATTCTTACTGTCACATGCATTTTAATTGCTTCTTTTAGATTTTACTTCCCTGACTCACTTACCCTTTTGTTTCCAGATCACAGCTCTGCATAATGATAACCCACATCTTCCTAATTCACCTGGCAGCATATGCATGGCTTTCACCTATTCTTTTACAATCATTTGAAGCCCATTTTTTTTATGGGATCTTCTGTAAGTGAATCAAATACTCTGTAATTAAAATCACACTAAATGCATGAGCTCATTCCTTAACATGAGTTACTTACAGGTGTAGTTGCAGGTGACTTTTCACTGCTGGGAGAATCCCCTGGACAGAAAGAAAGAAAAAGAAGAACACAGTGTGAGTAGCTTCGTACTGTATTTCTCATTGATCCTCTCAGTGGAGTGTGGCTCCTATGTCAGCTTCAAACCAATTTTTTTTGTAAGCCAAGAGGATGAGAAGATCAGAATAAAGCAGACCCCTGAAGCAGTTGGTACCCGTCACCAAAAGTAGTCAGGACCAGTGTAAGAAGACTGATGACATCAATTAGCACCCAGTACTAAGCACTAGGAAGCAAAATCTATTCCTACTAGTGCTGGTTTTTAATACACCTTGCATTCTGGCTTGATTGACAGTTCCCTCCTTGTCTGACATGGAGAAGTTTCATACAGAGAGAGGCCAAATGTCACCAAGAAATAAAGAGAGTGACACAGTTAACAAGAGAACCATGTTCCTGGTAAACGCTTCTAATCTTTGTTGTTGTTTTTTTTAAAGAAAAAGATAATAAAGAGGTAAATATTATCATTTCTTTAGATTTTCAAAATCAAAGTAAAATTCTGCGAATTTTCCCCCAATTTCAGTATAACTGGTACTGACATCAAAGAACTAGCTCTTTGCTAACTGTGTGCCAGAAACAAGCATTTTTCCCCCGAGGTCAGAAATGAAGAAAAATACCAGACATTATTGGTTGCCCGCAACATGGATTTTTTTGCACAGAAGAAATACAGCTAGCCAGTATGCATTTTACCTGACTGGGAGAAAAACTGGGAACGTCGCCAAGAGTTCTGAACTCTAAGCGGAAGGCTGGCAGTGCCAGGCGACTCTAGATCAGATGGTAGAACGGAACAAACAGAAAATCATGAGAACAGGGGTGACAGTTGTGTAGAACCTTCTCCCAAATCCCAGGCCCAGGTGTGGCTATCCAAGAACGGAGAGGGAAAGCATCTGAAGTGTAAAATATCTCAGTAAAACTCACACACACCCTGAAGACATGGGCAAAAGTCAACGGAAATGAGACAGTTCATGCTATTGCCTATCTTCTTTGATGTCAGGTGACATTTAATGGGCTCATACTTAAAGGTGATATTGTTAAAATGTTGAATCTCAAGATAATAAGATGATATGCTATGAAAGAGCAAAATGCACAGTGTGCATTGCTTTTGGAGAACACCAGAAAAATATAAAAGACAGCAGAGATGAGTTCAGTTATTATTGTATACACTTCATAAAAGTTACGCATGGAAATCTGTGGCAGAAATTATATATCCTATATAATAAAAGCCTAATATGCAAATCGACCAAATGGCAGAATGACCACTGGAACAACCGGTCACTATGATGTGTACTGACCACCAGGGGGCAGACGCTCAATACAGGAGCTGCCCCCAGCCCACAGGCCCCAGGCCAGCCAAGGCAGGGGGCCCCTGATCGCCCTGCCGGTTGTCCCGCAGATCGGCCCTGATCACTGGCCAGGCCTAGGGACCCTACCTGTGCATGAATTTTGTGCACCGGGCCTCTAGTGTGTGTAATAAGAGCATGTAAATGTCTATGTGTCATGTGACAGCCTCACGCAGACACAAGCTCATTTGCATCCTGAAGCTAGCACTGTGCCCATCTGTCATCATTCTCAATGCAAATAATGGATTTTTTGCACAAAAGAAATACAGCTAGCCAGTATGCATTTTAACATGCACATATTTTCCTGAAACACCAATTTGAGGTATCTTGCTACTGTTGGGAGAGTTGAGAAAAGGAAATTTGTCATCTTTAAATGTATTTTATGAAGGTTTTCAGAGTAATTAAAGACTATTTGTGCATGTGTGTATGTTTAAGGGAAATCTGTGGAACAACGTTAGGGCTCAGTGGCCTATAAGATCAGCCTACAAACAGATGGCTTTATGGAAATGGGGGAGATAGACTGTCTGGGGGAGCGAGTACTAGGTATGGCTCCCGGATTCCCCCTCTTAAACCTATAGCTCCTTTGGACTTGAGGTGCGACCTCAGACTAGTTAGTTACAGGTGCACTGCCTTTTTATATCTGGGCAACGACCTATACTTTCCCTGTCCCTCCACATAGCTTTTAAGATTACATTTATTAGAGGCCTTTTGCTTCATGAAAGATATGAATTTATACATTCTAAACAAATATTACTGTTATTTCTATATCTATCAGCGATGTCTTTGGAGCACAATTTAAACACATATTTCAAGTCTGTGGTCTTCTGAGTGTGGTCCCTGGATCTGCAGCATCATATCCCTCTGGGAACTCTGCAAATACTGTGGCCTCAGCCTAGACCTTGCGGGACTGGGACTGGAGGGTCAGCTATCTGTGCTTTAACCCATCCTGCCCAGGTCCCTGGCATATAATCATGTTTGAAAATTACTACTTAAAGTCCTATCTCCGCAACAGAAACCCCTTTATTTTAAGGAAAGCATTTATAATATTTTACTGCCTGGTATCTTGCTACTATCCTGTAATTACCAGATTCTATTATGAGTGCTTGTGTTGAGCTAAACACTTTTTTTGGTTTATCTCAATTAATTCTTCCAATACCCCTATGAGGTTGGTACTGTTATTATTTCTAGTGTACAGGTGACGATTAGAGATTCTGGAGAACTTGGTGGGGAGATCTCACAGGTAAGATCTGCATGAGTAAGGATTGGAACCCGCATGTTCTGTCTCCAGAGCCTGCAGCTGTTATTACAGCTCCCATGAACCAGACAACAAAACTAACTACTATGACATAAAAATAACAATTTCCTCTCTGCATTCCTTATCTGCACAATGACGAAGAGTTAGGAATAGGGCAGAATTTAAATTTGTCTAAATATGGCCAATTGCTGGCCTAGTTATAGGACTATTTTTGTCAATTCCCTTCAGTCGGACCAAAAAATTTAAAATACATGTTTTGAAGACAGTATTGAACTTGTTTCCACATTAAGAAACTAGTGCTCATCAGTGCATGTTCCGATAAATTCCTTCCCAAGTACTTCCCTGTTATGTAGAGAGAGCCCAACTTATCTCTCAGCCCTCAACAAAGGTTAATGGAAGCCAACTCAGATTCTACCCCAAACAGCTGACCACCCTTGTAAAAAAAAAAAAAAGTAAATCCCCAGCCACAATATGCTTATACTATCTTCTCTTTGCCTGGACTGCTCAATCTATAAAATAAACTGGGGAAAGTATAGTAAAAAAGAAAAGCAAGATACCTTACAGTTCTTGCTTCCGGAGCTTAGCTGTTTTCATATCTAGAGAGAACTCACACCAGTAAAGCCCAGTGGTCTGTTCTGAAGAATAGTCCCTATGAATCATGGACTTCTTAGGACATCCCCCTACTGCTCTCATCACTAAGGCTCCTTTTGGGGTGACTGGGGGCATCTAGATGTCTCACCAGGATAAAGGGTTCAAGTTGGGCTTTTAAATAGTACAGGATAAACTCACAACCTACACATGGCCTAAAAGGTACAAATGACACATAGACATTTGCAGTGGTCAGTGCCTTTTACAACTCCCATAGGCCCTAAACTCCTATCTTTTTAGAGGCCACCCCTCCACACATTATATCAAACATATGAAACATAGTAAAATATACCCTCAGCATATACATGTATTTAATATATATACAGGCAGTCCACAGGTTACGTTGGACTCGAAGTATGTCATTTCGTGTTTACATCGCCATCTCCCATTTATGTATAAAAAAAAAAAGTCCCGTCATTTCGACATATATACAAATGTGCTTTATGTTTTTTATTATTTATTACCCACAAGTGAAGGTCAGGAATTGTTATCTTTCTTTTAAATTTTTTTTACTGTTTCACTTCATTACTGCTGTGTATGTGCTCCATGTGAGTGACGGAGGTGCTTATGTAGGTGGGTTCCGACTTACCGCGAAAATCGCGTTACGTGGCTCTCCGACGTAACCCGAGAACCTACTGTATATACACATCTATTCTTGCTATAACAGTTTCGGGAAAAATTAAAGTTTTTGCTTATGAGTAATACACTTAACCTACAATGTGGAATAATTTCTCGGTGCACACCCAGCAATTATTATGAAGTAAGAAAGTCTGACTTTCTTCTAAAATTATTGCCAAGTGGATATTTTATAAAGACTACATAATTAACAATTAATGGAATTGATATAATATTAAGATTATAAACTTTTTGTTAAAGTTATTTATTTTTTTCCCATTTTAGAGACAATAAAATTATTTTAAGGAATCCAACACTTGTGTAGGCCTTATCATGCCAATGGTGCCCGGCTGGCAAAATGGTCTTGGCAGCTGGGGTCCTTGGCTGGGCCACAGAGAATGCAGCCCCAGAATTCTATTCTGAAATCAGTAATCTAGCCACCAGGCTCTGCAAACACTATGGCCAAAGGGACATCAACATAAAGGAAGTAATCCTCATTCACATGAAGTAATATTTCACTGCAGATGGGCCCAGGAGAACATGTAGGACTAAAATAAAGCATTTCCTTCTCTTTACCTTGAGAATTGAGATTTGGCAAATGTAACTGGTTGGTTTCAGGCATTTTGTCCAGAAACGGAAACGTCAGGGTTGCTTCTGGTTCTGGAGACTTTGGCTTTACCACCTGGTTCAGGAGCAATGGACACAAACATGGCAAGGATTATCTATTAGCAAAGACACAGGCAAAATAAAATGAAAGAATCCACGACAATCACATAAGTCAGTAAGCCCAAACATCTAACTTTTAAATGGAAAATTGGCCCCATTTTTCTTTCCCCATTTGTGTTTTTCTACTTTAATGTAGAGGTCAATTTTCCAGAGGTATCAAATGAGAGCATATAAAAATTTCATGATCACTTTTTTCCCAAACCCAGAAGACAGTATTCCATCTTTGGGATTATACATCATTCTGTCTCATTTTCTTATTGATAAATCACACAGTCTCTCCCTGATGCTACATAATGTCAGGATGTGAGATGTCCCATATAAGACTAAAAAAATACCCCCTTATTACGTAAGTGCTAAATACTAAGGTAATATTACCTTCTAATGGGCATTATTCTCAGACACTACACAACCCCCCATCAAATTCATGCAAAACACATTAAAGATAATATACTTTGCCTGTTGACATAGAAACATTATTATAAATAGCCATCATCAAACAGCTCCATAGCAATGATGCCCTTAGGGGGTTTTGAGGCATGTTAAATTACTTGTCCTATGGTAAATAGTCCCCAATTTAGAAATTCTTACATTTGTTTTGTAAAAGTAGAATTTTCTTGTTATTGCTATTTAATTTTATCTTGTTTCTCCCAATCTGAATGGCCTTTGGTAGAAGCACTTTCTTTCTGATTTGTTGTTTCTTATCAACTGATTGCTGAGAGACCAGATTACCAAACTAATGTCTAAAATAATAATCAGTAGACTCTGAGCAAAGATCGGAATGAGGAGCAGAGCTGGATCAGTTCATGTCCTTCCAGCTGCGTACAGGACTTCCTCTGATTCACTCTGGCTGGAGGCTGGGTTCCCAACAGATTCATTTGATGGCCAATAAGGCAAGTGAGGTTATAGAGAGACCAGTGTTTCATCATAAGCTGATCTATGATTTGGTCCTCAGGACGATTTAATGTCTACAATTTCTTCTTGATAGGATTCTATTTTTTCTTTTTAAATATATTTTTATTGATTTCAGAGAGAGGAAGGGAGAGGGATAGAGAGATAGAAATATCAATGATGAGAGAGAATCATTTGAACGGCTGCCTCCTGCACACCCCCTACTGGGGATCAAGCTTGCAACCTGGGCATGTGCCCTGACAGGGAATCGAACCATGATCTCCTGATTCATAGGTTGATGCTCAACCACTGAGCCACGTTGGCTGGGCACTTATTTTTTCTTATAAATAATATATCCAACCCTAATGGAATCCTGAAGAAAATACATTTAATCACTTCATTCTACATTAGATAAGTCAACCAGATAGCTAAATGAACTTCAGTATTAACTAAACATGCAATAAGTTGACAACCCTCACATCCTGACCTCATACCATCTCCCCTATATTTAAGTCAGATAAAACATGTTTCAGCTAATGCCCAGTTGTAAATGAAACAGTTCATAGTCAGCAGAAACACTCAAAATGACCACCATATAAAAAGATCAGTGTGTGTGCATGGGCACTTGGCAACACTCTCAAGTGAAGTAAAAATTGTTGCAGCCACAGTGATCACCTCTCTCCCTTTTTCTAAGAGCTAATTGTACAGGAGGGAAAGGAGAAGGAAAGAAATTCACATGGTGGAAGAAAAGCAGTGTGTTCAAAGACCATTACACCATTTGTTAATCAACTAGCAGAAATTCTTAACCTGGAGTCCATAGAACAGAATTCAGGGGCTGTATGTACTTGCTACCAATTGATAAAAAAACAACAACACCCAAACAACAACAACCACCACCAAACACAACAATCTGCACACACACACACGCACACACACAGAGTTAAGACCCTGAAAACAATTTTTCCACAGGGTAGATGTGACACTTGTGGTCCAAAGATGGCTCACAAGTGAGGTTCACAGACAAGGTATGCAGAAGAACATTCTTTAGTTATGATATTCATTCTGTTTGATTAAAAAAAATTCTAGCTATGAAGTAGAGTTCTCCTTTCAGTTTAGATTTAAATGGAACAAAAAGTTAACTTGGAAGAATACTAAATAATGAAGTGTAACATAGATCAGGCAAAACCTGCAAAGACAGGAAATCCTGCCTGCCCCCAATGTTTTCCCACAGTTTAGTTCCTCTTTCAAGACCTCCAGACCATTCTTTAATTCTCTATGTATAAAAAGGGGGGAGCTAGAGCCAGAAATTTCCAAAAGGCATCAAGGCCATAGGCATTTCTGAGACTCTACCAAGGACACGGCACTCTCAGCTCCCTAAGGCCAGGGGCCCCATCTTGGTCACCGTTGAATAGCCACTGTCTAATACATAGACAGTGCTTGGCACATAGTAGGTACACAGTCAATATTGGTTGACTAAATGATGGAAGAACCAGTTGTATAAGTGGTAAAATTTTCACGCTAAAGTCAAATCAAAATTTAGGGTTAAGTTTTAAAGTTGAAATATCACCACAGGCAGTATGCCCATAGGCAAGTCAGTGGTACCCTACTTTGGTGGCCCATTTGAATCATGGGGAGCTTTTAAAAATACAGGTGCCTGGGCCCTACCCCCAGAAATTCTGATTTATCTGAGCTGGAGATGCTTGGTGTATTTTTAAGTTCTAAAAGGTAGCCAAGGTTGAGAACAATTGGTATAAAAGATGAAAACTTTTATTCTCTGCCTGAAAACAAAACAAATTACCCTGAAGAGAATGAGACTCCAAACAAGGAAGAAAGTTAATAAAAAATAGATGTTAAAACCAATTATATCAGAATAATAAGTTTCGAGTTTCCTTGTCCAAATCCGGAGGCATCAGAAGTACGCTGCTATAAAATAGTTAAATATGGGAAGGAGAATCTTTACTGAGCTGAGAATAACCAAGCTCATACACAACAAACCAAAACCTGACTTCAAAGCTTTATAACTTGCAGAAAGAGAGACTAAAAAAGCAATCCCATTTACCATCTCACCAAAAAAATTAAGCTACCTAGGAATAAACTTAACTAAAGAGGTAAAAGACCTCTACTCAGAAAACTACAGGACGTTGAAAAAAGGAGATAGAGGAAGACATAAAGAGATGGAAGAACATACCATGTTCTTGGATTGGTAGAATCAACATCATTAAAATGTCCATACTGCCCAAAGCAATCTATATTCATAATTAGAATTGATTGTTTAAATAAAATTTAATAGATGTAGAAAGAATACATATATCTATATATATACCAATTATTACTAGTAGAGAGGTAGGTTTCTGTGACTTTTGCTCTCTCTTACTCTATGTCTATGTTTGTTTATATTTAATTTAAAATAAATGTACATATATTACTTGATAGATTTATTACATATGTGTACATCACAATGTAGCAGGATACAGAATTAACGCCAAGAAATCTATGGCATTTCTATACACCAATAGTGAACTTGCAGAAAGAGAGACTAAAAAAGCAATCCCATTTACCATCTCACCAAAAAAATTAAGCTACCTAGGAATAAACTTAACTAAAGAGGTAAAAGACCTCTACTCAGAAAACTACAGGACGTTGAAAAAAGAGATAGAGGAAGACATAAAGAGATGGAAGAACATACCATGTTCTTGGATTGGTAGAATCAACATCATTAAAATGTCCATACTGCCCAAAGCAATCTATATTCATAATTAGAATTGATTGTTTAAATAAAATTTAATAGATGTAGAAAGAATACATATATCTATATATATACCAATTATTACTAGTAGAGAGGTAGGTTTCTGGGACTTTTGCTCTTACTCTTTGTCTATGTTTATTTATATTTAATTTAAAATAGATGTACATATATTACTTGATAGATTTATTACATATTTATGTGTACATCACTATAAATATAAATTTAAAAAATATATACTATAGACTGAATGTCTGTGCCCCCCAAACTTCATATGTTGAAATCCTAACCCCCAAGGTAACAGTACGAAAGGTCTTTGGTAGGTGTTTAGGTCATGAGGGCAGAACTCTCATGAGTGGGATTGTGCCCTTATAAATGAGACCCTAGGGAGCTCCCTCGCTCCCTTCTGTCAAGTGAGGACACATGAGAAGTCCATCTGTGAACTAGGAAGTGTGTTCTCACTCGACACCAGATCTGCCTTGATCTTGGACATCCCAGTCTCCAGAACTGTAAGAAATAAATGTCTGTCATTTCTAAGCCATCCCTTCTGTGGTACTCTCTCACAGCAACCCAAGTGGGCTAATGCATCCATCTTCCCGTATGTACTTAAATTATTTACAATGAACATCTAGTATATTTGCATTTAGAAAAATACAGGTTAAAGACAGAAAAAAGATGAGAAGAGAAACTAAGTCGTCACGATGAACAAGTGTCCCAGGGGCAGCCCACGGCCCTGTGAAGCCATGCTCATGTAAATGTAACTGCTTTAATCCACGACGCAATTCACCTTTTGTGACAGCACCAACTCCACCTTCCCGCTCATTTCATTTTCCGGTTTCTTCTGGTCTCTCTCTTCTGGCACATCGTTCCTCAGCTTGGGGCTGGAGGAAAACTCCACCGAGGCCACGGTCGGGCTGCACCGAGTCACAGTAGTTGTAAAATGCTGTGGCTCTGAAATGGAGTTACAGGCAGAAACTTAAAGAAGTTGAATTACCATGTGACAAGGTGTATAAAGGAGCCAAAGATGCCAGTATTCTCTAGGCTCTTCCATGCTATCATAAAAACACCCAGCAACATAAAACACATCGAAGAATCCCACTGTGAAAAACTTAAGTTCTTGATAAGAGCCAGAGTTTGCATAGGAATAACACTGCACGAGACAAAATGCTGGCACGAAATATTCTGATAGGCGGGCTGGGTGGGCGAACATCTCCAGAGAGTTTCCATCCAAAGGACTGTGTGGCAGCCTGACTCTTCCTTCTGTATCCCAATGTTCCTTCTTATCACCACAGGTTCATAACTGGGATGTGTTGAGGATTGCATAGTATACACAATGCAATGAAAACAAAGTGCTCCTTGATATATAAAGAAGAAGTGGAAAAGTCACCCACTGAGGGGCCTATCAGAATGAGGGGGTATAATCTAGTTTGGAATTTTTAGTAATGACAGTTCACTTATTCTAACATGCCATTTAAAACTAATTTGGGATTGGAAGAGGGTGAAAGTTTTTTATGTTTATCAAAATAAGAAATGTGTTGAAAATATTGAAAAGCATTCATTCAAGAAATATTCCTATCTGTGGCATTACTTTATTCTTTCTAACTATTATTTTAAACTATTCACCAGCTTTATTATTTCGGTGTCTATTTTTATGATATATATTTTCAACCTGTCTTATCTATTGCTGTTACTGTGTGTTAAAATAGGACCCTCAGTTTTTGCCATTATTTATTTGGGGCAATATAATCTTATTTATGAGAATGGAGATACACTTTTAAGAAAACAAAGCAAAGCAAGGTTTTTAGCGCCAGATAAATCATAGTCAGAATTTCCCCAGGAAGCCTCTAGGTGGCAGCACAACCCCACACCAGTTTTAGAGTCTACCTTTCTGTGGCTCATTTAGGAAGAATTCTTGACTCTATTTCTCGACTGTTATATCTTAAGAGTTATCATGATTTACCTTAAAACTAGTCTGTTAGGAAACAAACCTGTAAGTTCTGTATTCCCTTCTTCTAGGTTTTCACCATCTTTCTCATCTTCTTGGCTGTTGGGTTCCATTTCCTCAGTGGTTGCCTGAAAAAAAGATTTTTATCCCCCCTTGAATAAATAATTCCTTTGAAGGTTGTAAAAAGGTAGAGGATTTCTTTCTCTTTTTTTCAAATAATACTATTTAGGCAAACAAGGCGAGTTGCCTATATGCATGCATTTTTTTTCTATTTCTTAGGCAGCTTTCTGGTGGAGGGCTGGCTTTGTGGAAGCAGACAAGCTGGGAAGGAGAAGGGAGGTACTGAAGCAGCAGCACAGTACGAGGGCACACCCACACCCACTGCCCACCTGCCCACCTCCTCAGATGGCCTCAGACGCACATTCCCTTTTTCTTCTTTTCACCACAAAATTTTCAAAGTCATAGTTACCACCCACTTGCCCCCAAATATCTCTAATGTTGGCTTAGGGTCCTATCACCAGTGGGGAAAAACTATTTTTGTTAAGATTACAGTTAACCTCTCCATAGCTTTTCTTCAGCATAGATGCCTGTGGTTCTTAGCATTGTGGAATTTATTCTTAATGATCTCTTCCTCTGGGCTCTCAACAACCCAATTACCTGAGTTCTCATTCTCTCTCTCTCTCTCTCTCTCTCTCTCTTTCTCTCTCTCTCTCTCCTTTTCTCTTACTGATTCTTGGTCCTTTTCTTTTCATAAAAACATGGGTCACTCCTGAAAACTTCAATGCTTTTCCTCCACCTGTGTGGAGTCACCTCAAATGTATCAATTATTGCCATGGGTTCACCATTATATTCTTTATTCATTTATGACTTGTACTTAAATCTTTAACCCTTAGAGCCCATCAAAGCTTCAGTTCAGCTGACCTACCATCACGGTCATGGTAAATGTCATGCTAAATGTTACCCTCCAACAAGCCTCTCTTACAAATTGATGATTTCTGTTTGTGGCATTAATTTTCCCCATCACACAAATCAAACTTTGAGGTGTTTCTTAACTCAGGCCTCATGAGTGTCCATCATTTACCAAGTCCTACCAAGGCTTTAACACCATAGTTTTCATATCCATCATTCCTTTATGTTTTTTCAGCTAGGAATCTCTCTAATTTGGATCTTGCTGTCTAATTCACTTGGCACATCACCATGATGCTCATCTTTCTCAGTAGTACCTCAAGTATATCAGTGTTACACTTGATATTCCATAACATTAAAAGAATTTGGAACAACCTAAATGCCCAACAATTAAGGAATAGTTGTTCAAAAAAGAAAATATCATCCTATATAATAAAAGGGTAATATGCAAATTGTCCCCTCGACCTGGAGTTCCACCAAAGTTCGACCAGAGGGTGGGACCGGCCCACAGCCTGGGGCCCCTCCTCCAAGCCTGCCCAGCCAGATCGGCCCCATCAGGGTGGGCTGGCCAGACCCAACCTGTGCACAAATTTGTGCACCAGGCCTCTGGTGCAATCATAAAAGGATATTGAACAATAGTTAATGATATGTGAAAATATTTGTTACATAATGTTGTTTAAAAATGTATACTGTATAGACATATGATGCCTACATAGTACTACTGAATGTACACTTAAAATGGTGAAGATAGTAAATTTTGTTATTTGTATTTTACCACAATAAAAAAATTAGAAAATAAACCGTTAAAAAATAAAAATTATTTGCAAATTTTTAAGTGTAAAAAATACACAACTTTAAGTAATATGCTTTTCAAACTTCTAAAAGATTTTACAACAGCATCTAGTGGCAAAGGTGCCTTTTCTTTTGGAGGATGAGGTAGTTTTAAAATCTTCATAATTAGATGGGCATTTTCTAATGATGGATAGCCATGTATCAATTTTAGAAGAACATAATATTAAATTAAAATGCACCTTTAAAACCATAGGCAGGAAATAGCACTGAATTTATATTCATTAATGAACTTTGTAACTTTTTAATATATCAACAAGCCTGAATTGAATCTTTTTAAGAGATTTAATGAGTGAAAATAGTTAAATAAATGGAACACTCTCTTATTATATTTGTTACATGTATGTATAAATGTGTGTTTACATTGTTATATTAATTACTGATATGATAGTAGCATTTGATGATCAATCAGTTGAGCATTACAAAAGAATAAGTTGGGTTTATAAGTAAAGTGCTCGCCCCACACACACATAGAAATTTTAATATATGATAGTGTTTTTTTGTTTTATGACATTAATATATAAAACACTGACAGAAATACTGATTTTTCGGTTTCCCCCCACAAATGGCTTAGATTATAGAAAACTATCTGAGGTTGGGAAACAAATTTGTAGTTAAACATTGATGAATGATGCTCTTGAGAATACTGGTGTTTCCAATTACTAGAAATAAAATAACTACAAAAAAAGCAGGCCAAAGCCTCCCCAGACCCAAAATGAACAAAAAAAATGGACGTATTTTATTGAATATCAGATGTCATCAATTATTTTGTATTATTTTTGGTACTACTAAGAAAAAAACAACAGTCTGTTAAATATGACACACTATTGCTTATAAGGCATCTTGGTTCAGAGATGCTCAAATGTGGAAAGCGTGCTGCTTGGAATCAATGCCATAAGACTACTCAAGTCCTTTAGACATCATTTATAAAGGAGACAAAATTCTCAAGCATGACCTCACTTAGCATTCCAGCACATTCCAGCAACAATTTACTTATGCGAGACTAATGGAGAACTCCCCCTTTCAAGAATTCTCACATTTCTGAATGCATTTCTATGTGGCTTAACTCTCACATACTGACCTCCAAGACGACCCAATTTATCTCCCCTGATGATTTCAAGGTTACACACTGTGGATACTGTAGCCTCAATCAATATTTCCTGCATTTACCATATGTCAGCATCGTTAGAAGTTACTTGACATGGATTATCTCACTCAATTGTCAGAACAGGCTTTATAAGGTATGGGCCAATATGATTCCCTTTACACAGGTGAGGAAAGTGAGGCCCAGGAGGCCGACTTACCCGGGATCCCACTGCTAGTAGGTAGGGGATGTGGGAACCCTGCCCTGTGCCTGTAACCGTAGTGTCCCATCGTCTGGGCTGGGAGTCACACCCACTTTCAAGCTGTCCCCAGGGACCTCCAAGTTTTGATCGGGGAGAAGCAATCTAGAACCTGAGGGTCCCAAGGTTACTGCTGAAATGATTCAAACTGCCTTTTCCGTTCCCTTTCCTTGTCATCCATTCTACCTCATTCTTCCCATTCTATGTCTCATCCATTTATTCTGCAAAAACCCTGGGATCTTTTAGGAGGCCATTTAGCTAAGTCTCTGCTTCCTAGGGCAGCTCGAGACCAGACTGCTCCAGCCATCACTCCCTCTTAGGGCTTTCCAGTCAGTCCAGGTTCTGGGGGTGGGGGAAGCACTGGCCCAGCACAGTATCTGACAGAGAGCAGATACATAATCTATGTGAGGTAAGCACACGTTATATGCATTATTTATGGAATGTGTTCTCTCAAGCTTAATTTAAATGCATACTAGTCATCAAAATCAGGCTATTACTAGCAAAATATTCAAGATAAATGAAGAGAAAAAGCAAACCACAATGCAATTTGAATAACATGAGCCCATTTAAAAATATTTTATAGCACAGCCAGCATGGCTCAGTGGTTGAGCATCAACCTATGAACCAGGAGGTCATGGTTCAATTCCTGGTCAGCACAGTGGGCTCAATCCCCAGTGTGGGGAGGGCAGGAGGCAGCCAATCAGTGATTCTCATTATTGATGTTTCTATCTTTCTCTCCCTCTCCCTTTCTCTCTGAAATCAACAAAAATATGTTAAAATATTTCATATGCACTGATAAAAGAGGATACACATTTTAAAAAATCTTAGTACCAATTTTTGAGTGGCTGGAGTAATAGGTACTTTATATTTTCTTTATAATTTTCTGTATTCTGTAATATCTATCGACTATACGTAATCAAGGGAAATCCCCAAAGCCAGTTTAATGAACTTATGTCTGGATACTCTATCTTGAAGGCTTGTTACTTTTGTGCTCATATCATTACAGACTTCATGAGTTCAAAGTTGGCAGTTTTCACCAAGCCCACTGTGCTGGAAAATTCGCTTTCTGACCCATACTTTCCTTTGGTTCCTCCTAAAGAGAGGAGGGGCCTTTCCTTCTCGAGAACGAAAACAAGTAAATAAAACAGATCCCTGGACACCAATGAATGAGAGCACAGAGGAGTTACAGGGGCCTAAGCCAGGAGCTGGCTTCCCCTTGACTGAGAACATGATCCAAACTGGCTCGGATGCCAGACTTAGCCCCGAGGCCACAGGTGGGAGGTGGCAGTTTCCTGGCTTGAGAGGGACAAGGTCTAGCCACAAAATCTAGCAGGCATCTCGCTGCTTATTTTAACAAGACTCTTACCGGTGGACTGGCCCAGAGACCGACATTGAAGAACGCATTGGAAATAAGAAGCCCGAGACCAAGAACCGTCCTGAGACCTAGGGCGTGGGTGGTCCCGTTTCCAGGACGGAGGGACTATGAGAACTTGGACTGATCATTTAACCTCTACATGGAAAGATGTGAAGTCCAAGGTCGTCTGCTGGACTACCATCCTGTGACTCTGAGAGGTTCCCTGGCTCCAGTCTTGAATAACTTATCTGGACCTGAGCCTGGAAAATCAGCCTACTTAGGTCTTGGCACCGTGACCCGGGTGCCATATATGCCATGCCCGTGTTTCCCTCTCACTTTTACACCTCCAAATATACGTCTATTTTCACTGGACGAAAGAGGATCTACATGAACAGTCAGCCTCTCCATTCCCTAAGCCTTTTCCTTTTGCCTTAAACATTTCAAAACAACAACGTGAGGCTCTGATCCAGGTAAGATGGGCTGGGTTTGATTTTTTGTCCCTGACGTATACTTTCTTGAAGTCTGTAAATGCTCCTGTACCTAAAGATCTTTAATGACTCATAAAGAGGCTTAAATCTAACACTCTGACAACTACTTCTAGAGGGAGAAAAACAGCGTCTAAAGAAATGCCTGTTGACATTTGACATCTCGAAGGAATGTGCAGTTGGTCTCAGTT